TCTCTCTCTCTCTCTCTCTCTCTCTCTCTCTCTCTCTCTCTCTCTCTCTCTCTCTCTCTCTCTCTTAATCTTTCTCTTTGCGTACATTTTAACTTCACGTAGATTATCTAGACCACCGAACGGTTCCTTTCCTCTTACGTCGAATTGACGTTACATGCTGATGGGTTCTTTTATTAGAAAATTGCCTCCGCGGGCAGAGTGCGCGTACTAATACATACCTGAACGAGAGTCTCTTTTGAATCCTATTTTCGATCGGCGTAGAAAGTATGTGTTGTGTGTGTATGTGTGTGGTACGTTCTGAGAAAAAGAAAAAAAGATGAGAGAAAGAGAAACGAATAAAATAAATAGATTGACGTAAAAAAAAAAAAGAAAAAGAATTGAACATATTTATTAAGATTTTGGCAATAATTTTTCACGTTAGAGATAAACAAACGTAAATTCGAATTAATAAAACGTCACAATATTTTCAACATGATTAATTTATAATTTATCCCGATCTGGAGTTAATTTTTTTTTGCTTTCGAATAAAATCGGTAAAGAAATAAAAAAAAAATATATTGTGTTTCGTATATTTTGCAAAAGTATTTGTTCCAAGGTATTAAGGAACAATATATCGAATATTTTATATATTTCAAACAAAAATATATATATATATGAGAAATAATAATACGGTTCGCGATAGCGAAGAAAAATTTCGTATAATAATCGTAAATTTTTCATTGCTAAAATAACGTTGCTAAAATTTGCTTCGGATTTTTCTTGTTCTTTTTTTTTTCTTTTTTTTTTTTTTTTTGAGAACTATGAAAATAAAAAGAATAAAAATCGTATTCCTCGGCAAGTGCGGATACGATATCAGAAGAGATATCGATATCCTCTTTCTCGAGGTCGCGAGAGGAACAGAAGGTCAACATTGGAACGTGGAATCTCCACGAGGAATTTGGTATAATTCTGATTTCAGCGGTGTCGAGTGCAAAGATGAGGTCTACAGCGTACGCCAGCTCGTTGCTCGTGAATCCGAGAAGAAGACGGTGAAATCTGAGCCATTGGAAAACGCGAACAACGCAATTCACGTCGAAACTACGACGACGACCACGACGACGACGAAGACCACGACGAAAACAACAACAATAACACCCCCTGTTGAATCGTCAACACCTAAAGAAGTTTCACCAAAATCCGAGAACGTCGTTGCACCGATCGTTGTCCCGTTGCAGGAACAAAATCGTAACGACAACAACAGACCGCAATCGGTAACAGCATCGCTATTCCGATCGGTTGCATCAATATCCAATCAGGAAACGAAAAAGGATATCGATTTGAAACTTAACGAAGGAAATTCGAGAAAGCTGCCAATTATCTTGGGCAAATCTTCTTACCCGGCGGTGGTTACTCAAAATTCGAAAAAAATTATCGAAGAAGTTACCCTCAAAGAGAACGATCAACCCAAGAAACGTCGACAAACTGGACGTACTGAATTTATATTTCAGGTTAGATAATTAAAATATTTTAAAGACAAAATAAAAAGAGAGAAAAAGAAAAGAGAAAAATTATTTTTTTATCGTTGATATATATATATAAAAAAATGGGGAAAATAATATTTATATAAATACATTTTTAGGGTAAACCTGCATTGGAATACGATTTCGATTCAGCTTTACGTCGTGATCGTACATTGGCGGTTACCAGACAACTATTTGCTCCTTTAACGTCAACGATTAATAATAATAATAATAATAATAGTAATAATAATAATCTGTATCAACAATCGCAACAACAAGAACTGCCGCAGCAAGTGTCTTGCAGGCCGCCACCTCAAACGGCAACCGCCAGTATATTCGCGCCTCGTACCGAGGACATGAATAAAGGTTTTTTGACTTTCAGCGAGGATCAGCCAGGTCTTACCAGTGGGTCTCTTTTCGTTTTATCGTTACTTTCTTCTTCTTTTTTTTTTTTTTTTTTAAAAAAAAAAAAAAAAAAAAAAAAAAAAAATATCGTGAGTTAGAGTCATGAAACATGGATCAATAGATTAATAACAGCTTGATAAGACTAAAGTCACGCGAGAAAGAGAGAGGAGTATCCTATGAAAAGATAAGATAACCGATCGTTTCGGAATGTAAAAAAAAAAAATTAAATTCGACGATTCTACTACACCCTAAAAGTAAAGACATTTATCTAAGGAAAAGAAATGAGAGTAAAGAGAAACACGGTTGAGGTAGAAAAAAAAAAAAAAGAAAAAATAATATAGGGCCGATGATATGACACGTACGAGCTGTGAAATTATTTTTAGTGTTGAAGGACGAACCAGAGGATTTAACGCATCTCGCCCCAACTCCTGGCGACGTATGTGTACCTCTCGAAGATACACCCTTCTTAACGGACATGTTGGATGAATTCATTCTCAGCAATGATAATTATTATCCTTTATTGAGTCCTGGCGTTCCATTGTCGTCTGAATTACGTGCCACGGATCTCGGTGAAAGTTTAAAGGACACTGACTTAGCCGACAATACGAGGAACAAATGTTTCGGAGATTCTTTGGCAGATAGTGATCCTTTCATGTATGGTGATTTACCGAGCAGTCCGTGCAGTATCGATCCAAATTCCGTATCACCTTCGATTTCCAATTATCGTCAGGCAAGTTATCACATCTCTTCGAGATAATAATAATAATAATAATAATTTGTTTGTGCATTCCAAATGTGAAAATATAATTGAATATATTTTTAGAGCCCGGAACGAAGTGTAGATTCTCTTGGTAGTCCTCCAGGAGGCAGTGCTGGAGAAGGACTCTCTGAAGATGAGATGTTGATACTTGGTGTAAGTGACAACACAATTGACGATGAACTAGCACTTAGAGCACCTTATATACCTATGTCAGATCAAGACGAGGCATTGGATCTTTTGATAAGCAATGATATGGTCATGTGGGGTGCACAACAACCCGTTGAGAAATCATCCAAATGGTGCTTCTTATCTCTTTTTATCTTTCCTTTCTTTTTTATAATCTTAGAGATTTGGTTAGGGTGACCATATTCTTATTTTTTCTACAGGCTGGCTGAAGATCGTGAACAACGTGACGTTGATTCCAGTTTAGCACAATTGCTTAGAACTGATCAAGTTGTTTCTCGCAGATACAATGATCACGGTGGAGGTTTGGTTAATCCGGTACAAGTATTGGGTCAAATACCTAGAAAAAGTAAGAGCCACGTGATCTCTGAAGATTTTCTTTTTTTTCGAAGAACTATCAATCGAGATATTAATAATCAGACAAATTAATAATCGGTTTTTCTTCCCTTACAGATCTCTTCAATGAACAAAATCGTTGGACGATGAAAATAAACGATCGTAACGATAAAGCAAATAAACGTATTCACGCGACAATCAATGAATTAGAGAACGAGAACAAACGTATCAAATGCGAGGATCCGCTTTCCCTCGAGAGTCAACGTTTGATTTTAGACGAACAAGGAAAATCACGAAGATCGAATAATTTTTCAGGGAGTCAGCTTCTTCGTCGATTGGTATCGCAACAAACATTTTCACGTAACAGCAATCGAACAAACGCCGCTGACGAGTCTAGTTGCAACGGTATTGGTATTGGGAAGTATAATAATAATCGTCGTAGAAGTTGCGAAGAGGAACAACGTATTCGTAACATCGACGAGATTAATAATCACAGAGGTGGCAAAAAGAACAACAATAAAATAGCTAAGGACGATGACGAGGATGAAGCTGAAGGGGACAGCGGAGGGGGAGGGGATCAGAAAAGAAGACGTCTAACAACTCAGGAAATCATAGACAACGCGACAACAGTACAAAGTTCAAACGGTGGTGGTTCTCATAGGAATCCACCATATAACAGCGTGCTCATGAATCTCCTGGTGTCCGGCTGCGATGTGAGTGCGGGTTACGTTTGCTTGGTCAAACAAAAACCTTCGAAGAGTATCGCGAGCACGTGAGCAATCACGGGCCTCGTGTTTGTTCGTTATCACGTGATCGATAATTATACTACGTCCTTTTAAAATCTCCCTCTTTTCCTGTATTTAAAGGAACAAATTTTTCATTTCCTTTATTTCTGGAAATAAAAAAAGGGATATTAAAAAAAGTCAGGACATAAACTTTTACTCTCGATTAATTTAAGTTCTCTTTATTCGACGTTGAATAATTATTCCGTTTGTGCTCGATCAGTTAAATATGTCACGAGATCTTTGCTCGTAGATCTCCGTGCTCGTACGATTCTCATACGATTCTCATACGATTCTCCTTTCGGTTCTTATATATATATATATATATATATTAATTACTATAAAGAGAGATCTGTTGCGAAAGAGATCAGGAGACGAAAGAAAGAAAGAAAGAAAGAGTATATATGTGAGAGATTAGAGACAATATATAAAATGGTTTTTTGACGCGACATTGTTGTTTTTGTTGGTTGTGTATGGTAGTGATCTGTGCGCATATCAGGAAAAAAAAACAATAAAATAATAGGAAAAATAAGATCTAGGAATAGGTCTCGCGAGAGGCCATAACACACATTTTTAGATTACGATTGCGTCACTGGACAACACAACAGATATGCATGGAAAATAAGAAAAAAAAAGTGATGGAAATTTGTAGTATCGCGATAATTCTTTAACGCCACGTTATGTACACACAAATACAAAGTATATAAAGTTGTTGATTAAATATTATCGAAATACATTGAACATTTAACATCGAAATCGCTTGATCTGCTGCGTTCCGTTTCCTGTTCTTTCTTCATCCTTCCATATTCCAGAAAACGTTTCGTCGGTTTTCATTCGGATTTTCTTTTTTATTCTTGTTTTGTTCAGAAAAAGAAATTGAAAAAAAAGAAAAAAAAAAAAAGAACATTTAAATATTTTCTCTTGTTCAGTAACTTTAACAAAAATGTGTCTATTTCTTTTTATATTTTTAAAAATATTTTCTTTTGTTTCGAAGATACACGGAGATTATATAATTGATTAAATTTATCAAATTTGAGTATTTTTAATTTGTATTTCTTATTTTTTGGTATTCACATTTTGACAATATTTATTTTTTATGAAGAAATTTTATTTGACGCGATATAAAACACGAACATTTAAATAACATTTAATATATTTAGATAATTTTCAAATTCTAATGGAATAAAATTCTATTTGCGGATTTTAAATACGATAACGTTAGAATATTGTGTTACGATTGCCGTGACTAGTTTGACTTTACACCTGTTGATTTCTACTTCGTCGTTACAGAATGATTTATAGACGAAGAATCACGAGCTAAGATACGAGAGCTATATTGTAGAATTTAATCACCTTTATAAAGCAGTAACATTAAAGTTTCATAAAAAATATAATAAGATATCGATGAAAGAAAACGTTATCTGTCAAGTTATTGCCTGTCAAGTTCCGCGTTTTCCCATTTCATCATCGCGAAACGCAGCAGTAATATAATAATATGTAATAAAACAAAATAAAAGAGAACAAATTGTTCAATCATTTATTTTTAAAGTTTAGCAAACGTTTATAATTATTAATTAGCGTACGGATCTCTTTCTATACTAATTAAAAACGTCATAGTATTTTTTGTTAGGACAGTTTGTAATGATTTAGAATAAAAAATTCAAATGCGATACTTATGCGTAAAGATTATTAAGAATTTAGCTTGACTTATATTGTTTGGTTTCTTGTAATTATTATTTTTGATTACATCGATATTTTTATGTTTCAGGATACTATCACGGACTCTCGTAACGTGCCAACATTAGGAAATAAATGCCTAACTTCTCCGCTTAGCGTGAATTTGGACAATCAGATGGTCCCACAATGTCCGGACGGATTAAACAACATATCTTTAGATCGTCTAAGTCCAAGTACTAGGAAACATTTTGTCGGTTCATTGAGTGGTGGAAGTATGATTTCACCTTCAACTGGCATAATATCTTTCGATCAGCTCGAGTACGATGTTGTTTGTACTGGCCCAGGTCTTCTTCAGATGGATACTGGTTTACTTGAAGGACCGATGGATAAGAATCTCGTTTAAGATTAAACGCGGTCCCTTTAAGAAATTCCAGAACTGCTAGAAAAAAAGAAGTAAGGGGCTCGAATTGCTAGCTAGCTGTTATATTTAATATACACTTTAATCGTGGGGAAGGAATCCTCAAGAAAAATAATAACAATAAATATAAATTTCATCAGTGATCTATTCTATCTGTAATTTGTACATAATCAAACATTATGAGCATTTAATTTAGTTTAGATATATTATATTATGTTTCTGACCGATCTCTTTTAAAACTTCGTTCTATTTTATCCGATAATGAATGTCACAATTAATGTAATATATATAGTATATATATACATGTATATATATATACATATATGAAAGTGAGATTCAATGGCCATAATCGATTGAACTTTTTTTATAGGCTCTTAAATAGCTACGCCAGAGTTAATTACCAATTTTGTTTTCAGTACGTTCTGGAATTGATTAGATGTAGATAATATATAAGTGGAAGGGAAAAATGTATTTTACATATTGACAGGTGGTTTTAATTATAGAACTCGTATAATACTATTAATAAGAGTATTTCAAAATGCTATACAATAATGTAAAGATTTCGTAAAACCGGATATTACCTGCAAGCAGAGTATTCAAATGTGTACTTCTTATAATTTTATATAATTATTTATATATAATGTATAAAGGATCGTACATATTTGAAAAGCGTTTGTAAATTGATCGACAATCCAAAAAATGATTCGTTTGATTGTAATACACAAGTCATTTTTTTCGAACACGTATTCCAAATTTGCAGATCGTTGTCACAATGTAACGTGATAATTCAATTATTTCGACTTTTTTTTATTGTTCCTTTTTTCTTGTCTCACTTTATCTCTGCCTGCTTCAAATTTGAATTGTTAATAACATTACTACTTTACAAAGTATATTGACGAGTGATAGATTAAAGATTTTTACGTGCCAATGCTTTCACGAAACATAATGTTAGTATACTTGTTAAGTTCTAAAAATGAAGATTTTATTTTCGTTTTGTTAGCACTTACACCCTCATCATCATCATCATCATCATCATCATTATTATTATCATTATCATCATCGTCATATCTTTACCGTTGATTCTTAGACTTTTCGTTTTAAATTCAAAAAATAAAGAACGATCGATTCAAAGTTAATTAGAAAATATAAATGTAAATAATATACATTAGAATATATTGTTTTTTCATGAACTCTCTTTAAGCCTTGATCGTTTGGTCCAATTTAAAAGCTGATTAAGATACAAAGCTGAGAGTAGAAAAGAAACAAAAAACAAAGAAGATATGAATTTATTATCTCGTACGAAAATTAATTCGTGCGTGATAGTTATGCGGCATTTACGTGTTGCAACGATTACGTGTTGCCTTGTTGTTATTGTTATCATTTTTATCATATTTTGATAATCCTTGTTAAAATCATCGTTATATTACCATTTTACAGACGTAGAAAATATTCTCTGCTGGTACTAACCGAAAATTTTTTCTACATGGGTGTTATTCTAGACTTTATACGAATCAAGATAATTGTAATTAATATTGTATCTGGCCGTAATATTATAATTATCATTATGATTGTCATCTATATTATTAATCTTACTATAGTCTTAGAGTATCATCCGATATGGATCATAATTAATCGCAAAAAATGATATGACGAATACAGTATCAGGAAGAAAAAATATTTCTATAAGTAATATATTTCTATGTATTACTGTATTTCCTTTTTCTTTTCTTTCTACTGGATTTTAATTTTAATTTTGTTTTTGTATAAATTTTTTTTATTTCTTTCATTAGAAAGGCATCGTTAAAAAACAATAATATTAAATTAAAAAAATGTAAGATCACTGTTACCGAAAGAAAGTTATTATTGTGCGTTAATAGCTAATTTTTCTTTTAATATAATGTAACAAGAGTTGACGTTTATTGACGTTTACTATATACACTTTATATTTTGGAGGATGTATTTAAATTTCATAATTATATGGACAAGGATTTAATAAAGAATACAAATTCGTGATTGCTTTTTTACGCTAGCTGAAAAGCCTAACATTTTAGAGTGTGGTGCTCGACATTACCGACGGAGTAACGAAATAAACTTGGGTAAGTATTAGAAGATGTAACTCGCGCCATCTGTTATAATTAAATTATACCATACCATCGAGAAACGAATGTTTTTTATTATTTTTTTTTCTTTTAAATTTATTTTTATCCTTCGTTAATTTTATATTATATTTAAATTATCTTTATCCTATATATATATTTAATTAAAAAAATGATCACAAAGTCAACAGTATCATCTTACCTTTCAGACTATTTCCAAAATTTGTATCTCCTCCTAACTAATCTTCTTTATCTATTATCGCTAATACAGTATATTATAATCTATCATTATCAGTTGATCATCATCATTTAAGCGCCATTATTGTATTTCTTTATTATTGTTACAGTTCTTAGAGGACTTTGTCCAGAACTAATAATAAACATCTACGTCTACCGTCTACATCTACATTCTAAGTCTCTTTCTTTTGAATTCACACTTCCACAGTATTATTATATACTTATGTACACTATTATTTATTTTCTCACTTTCATACACACACACACATACATACATACACGCATACTTTTAATCTCTTTCTTAATCTCTCTTTCTTTCTTTCTAGAAATAATGTTGCGTACCTTAGATTATGGTTAAATCTCGGTAAAGCGTTATTTTATTATACCTTTTATATCATTAACAACAACGTACATGTAAATGAAGTGAATGCTTGGAATATTGAGATTTGATGTTAGTGTGTTGACTTTTCTTTTTACGTTAGAGATATACTACATTATTAATTAATGTATTTCGATTTACAAGTTTTTATCCACTAATCTTACAGATTCGCATTCGCACGTGTTCCTTTCTCACTCACTCTCTCACTCTCTTTCTCTCTTCTTCTCTTTTTTACGTGTTTCTCGAAAGAGATTTTCAATTGGAAAACTAAACGGGACTGCGTACTCGTGATTTATTAAATTCGCATAATCTGATTAATTAATTAATCGATCGATCGATCATTCGATCCATCTTTGCTAGATGAAATAACGGAGATAATAAAAATCGTTTGAAAAATTGTAGCGCGCGACATCGCTAGAATTTAAATAAACAACTGTAAAGAGAAATATTTGTCTCATTTATATATACATATACATGTATATATGTATATATAAAGGATATAGATACATTAATTTTTCTCTCTTACGTTTGTTTATTTCTTTCCTTAGATTCAGATCGCAAAAGTGATGGAATGCAGAGTCAAAAAATTATATGATCTTTTTGGAGATCGTGATAATTTCGAAAAACGATAACGAAACGTTGTTGAAAGAACATGTGGTAATACTTGTATTGTAATTCAAGTATATGTATATATATATATATATATATA